GCTGCCGGGCCAGTGCAAACCTCCCAAACAGCTGCAGGCTACTGCAAATCGCCTAAATCGCTTCTTGGTGCCACATGCAGCACCTCAGCACCTGAATGCGTCTCGACATATACACTTCAGTATATCAAGCTATAACAAGCCTGCAAAAGTATGATCAAGTGTTACCAAAAGGAAAGGAAGGGGAATAAAGCCCCTGCACTTCAAAAAAAAGAAAAATGTATATAGAAAATGAAGCAAAATGCAAACCTCAACTAGTGTGTATCATACAATATGGATGAGGCATTGCAAGGTGACCCTTTCGCAGCCTCCAATACGTAGCCAGCATTATTGGAAGAAATCCCCTTTTCAAGTAAGAGCTCACGCAACTTGTGACATTCACTGTCCAATTCCTGATGTTTGAGTTTCAAAGCTTGAGTTGTTGCCCCTACTTTGAGGAATTGAGTAGATATCGCTGCACCGCAAGCAGCCCGTGTCTCAAAAACAGCACGAGCTAGCCTCATCTTCAATATGTCAAGCAGGAAACCTACTTGAAGCCCATATGAGATAGCGTCACGGATTGTATCTCTCCAACAAAGAAGTTTATGGTCAGAGATCTCCGAATATGACGTGACATCCATGCCGTATAAAGACAGACCAAGACCACGAAAGGCCAGATTCTTCGAAGAAAAGGATAGATTGCGAGCACTCTCGATACGAGCCTCATAGCTATCAAAGAACTTACTTAAAGATTTCACTGTCTCCGGGAATACTTGCGCTCCTCGGAATGTCTCATAACCCTGGAATTCGTAGCACAGTGGAAGAAGCTCGTCGGAGGATCTAAGTATTCTTGTGTCACTGTCGAAGAAAACCATAAAGGCACTAAATGCATCTTCCAACTCATAACAAGAAGGGTCATACCCCGACATGTCTATCAAATTGTCCACCTGCAAGATAAAAAAGAAAAATATGGATCAATCGGGAAAAAGTATAGCATGCACAGGATCAAGACAAATACAACAAATAAAGTATACCAAATCAACATTATGTGGCGTGGAGGTTGTGGCGTCATGGACGAATTCAAGGGGGGCGTCTAAGCAGAGCGGTTCCTCCAAAGGATGATCTAAGTCAGCTAAACCGCCATCACCAACTTCACCCTCATCACCTCGATCGCATGCATGATCAGCCGGTATGTCGCTGATGGATTCCTCACTCCTTTCCATATATGCAAAATCAGCCTCATCATCTTCACCATCGAGCTCGGAAGTACTTGAAGTACTTATATCTCCCAGGTGGGAACCCCGACGTTTCCTCTTCCTCAAAGAAACGCCTACATGGTAACAAACGAATTAAGTATATACATATATATGCATTTGTACTACTGTAAGCAAGTTGTAGGTGCTGGAGGTTTCCGGCGCTAACTTGGAACTGAAGCGGTTGGCGCCATAGCCTGCTTAGGGCCGATGGAAGGAGAAAGTTTCTTCATGGGAGGACCAATCACTGCCACTTTGGGTTTGAATTTCTTTTTTCTCTGAGAGGAACGTTTTTCGCTTACGCCTTGCTTGGCTATTGATTTTTGTAGCACAGTACTTCTTTTTACAGACTCCAGGAATCTTCCAACTATTTTGCCATCCTTGGAAGTAAAGGCCAAGTTTCGCTTCTCACTGAGCGCAATAGCTTTCTTTTCCGATATCAGTCTTCGGTGATGATCAATGGAAGGGAGCAGTCTTCGCGGAGAACTTGCATGAAACCGAGTAAAATAAGCAAAGCAACGATTCCAATAAACACGGTGACCTTTTGAACAGCCACCAACCCTTTCCCTGCTAGTCAGAGCAAGGGCAAATTGTCTACCATCATCTGGTACCCTCACTCTACTCCAAAATACCTTGTGCATTTCAAGTGGATGGCAAAAGTCGGGTCTTACTGGGACACCTTGATCAAGCCCAAATTGTCGTCTAACCCGATGAGTCGAGTAATGAATGGATGTCTCAGAATGATCATCACCAAACGTAAACAGTGGGAGGCCTGCCATATTCAGATATGCATCTTTTCTTGATTGCTCACCCCTTGGTATTATAATGGAAGTTCCTCCTACTTCCGCATAAAATGACACCTGTCCAAACCCTCTGGGTACCTTCGTATAAGGGCGAAACACAAAATGTTGAATATCATCCAATAGCTCAAGGAAGTTTTGGCCTTTCCTTTGCTTTCTCCTGAACCACCGAGAAATCAAAGGAGGCATATTTGGCGTGTATGAAACATCACTAGCACGAACAAGCAGTCCAGCTTGTGAGCAGGGCAGTGGGCACACATCCAAACCATTAATGTGCTCCCATAGAAACACCTGCAAAAAGCTTGAATTCAGGAAACTCTCCACTGCCATTGTTCCGGCCGCACCTTTCTCAAGAAGATGTACCTGATCTAGCAAGCGATACAAGTACCCCAAGAACATGGGGGCTAACGGAATCACATCACCTCGTCCGATTGCCAGTGCTAAAGGAAACACTCTCTCGTGCATATAATCCGAAGAGAAATCACAAAACACAAACTTTCCAAGCCATAAGGATACAAGTGCATGAAGACTACATGAATGCCCTTCGTCTTTATCACCAAAATGTTTCACCCAGCTACTGAATCGAAGAGATTGCCTACTCATGGCACCCTTTTTAAGAATCTCAAGCCTTTCTTTGTCCTTGGCATCCAGTATAATGTTGAAAGGGTCTTGATTACCCACAATGGGAAGATGAAGAATATTTACCACATCTTCAAGTGTAGGAGTGAATTCCCCCCACGAACATATGAAAGTATGTGTTTCCGAGCTCCATCTCCTGATTACATGGCGAAGTAGCTGCACTTCCAAGTGAATCTCACATCGTTCGGATACAAAAATGGCATCTAACACCGCAGCTTTCCGCAAGGTATCTCTGTTAATCGGATCCTCTAACTCATGCTCAACCCATTCTGACCAACCCCCAGTAATGCCACAGGGATATTGAAAGAATACAGGGACCGCCGGAAATAAGCCTCCTTCTATGCAACATCTGGAGATGGATGTGGGATCTATAATAGGAGCTGCCTCTGCCGCTGGCTCTTCATCTATAAGTGGACCTTCGCAAAGATTCTTGGACGACGGAGGGGGCCGTCCCCTCCTTAAGCCATCAGCCAGAGAAAACAAGTTATCCTTCATCACTGGTGGTAACCTAGGTGAAACGCGGGAACCCATTAAAATGCACCTTGTGAATTCCTACAAGCAAGACAAGGAATAATGGTAAGATTCATCGAGAGGAAGGGCATGCTGAATTCTCAAACAAAATCAACATGCCAAGCAAAACTTATGCACAAGCTTTCCAACTGCTCCAGCTAGAACATCCCACATTCAGAAAATCACTAGAAATTAAGTTTACAACCAACAAATCCCAAACCTTCCAGATTAGAACTAGACATGTCAAACCTCATTTTCCCAAAATTTCGTTGAAATCCGAGTTAGGGAAGCAGGCCAAACAAAATTCTAAAACAGGTCATGCAGCAGAAACTGCACAATTCCAGCAGCTTTAGCCCTTACTTTGAAATTGCACCACAAATTCATTTTTGCTTCAAAAGCCACGAAACCAATCCCAACACAACCATTGAGAAGCCCACTTTCATGTGTCAAAATCTCCAGATCATATTCAAGTGACAAAGTTTCGAAAGGCCAGAGAACATCCACAGGGTACTTTGGGACTTTTTCACAAACACTTAGCATGCATTAATTAGGAAAGCTTGTGTAGGTTTTGTTCATCACCAAGCTAAAACCCTAAATCACAAGCTCAACCTCAGAATTCAGTGCCTAATTCACAAAGTTTTGAGAAATACAAAGGAACTCAAGCTTCAAGAAAACAAGCATGCAGCAATGGCACCAACATCAATCTATGAACACACTTCAGAAAAATAAGGGCAGGGAACACTACAACGGTTGGATGATCCCCAATTTTGGATATATTGTAAACAGCACAATTTGAAGAGAATTTCATGAAGCAAGCATAATCATCAGAGCGGCAGATATTAAAAACGAGTGCAGAAATAGAATCTGCAAGCACTCACCAGCAATAAATAGACACAGAGATTGCAGACCAACTTTGTGGCATCAGAAAAATTCCGAAAATTCCCAAATTTTTACAGGCTATAGTAGTCGAGCAGATGAATAACTTTCATCAAGGAAGTTTTTCGATCTGAGCATCGAAAACGTGACTTCTGTTTTGGTGAACAGTAGCCACGGGTTTGGGTCTTGAAGGAGAGAAGAGAGAGCTGAAGAAGCACG